TAACTCTTTTGTTGTAGACTTGTTACTACAGATATTCCACAGATAGATAAAGAGCAAGTGGTGGTGGATTTGACTAAAGAAAGTCCTATTGTTCAGCTTGTACAAGAGTATGAAGAAGATACAAGCCAGTCCACAGTAACCTTGCTGTCCAGTGATGATCAGGAAGAAGAATCATCGACCTGGTTTGAGCTGGAGACAGAGCAGTACTGCTGTGACATGGCAGCAGTGTGCTGCATTTCCACCTTTTCGGAATACCTGTTCAAGTGGTGCTCGGTGGCAGCGGCCCTGCACCGGCAGCACAGTAAAACTGGAGGCAAGGAAGGGCCAGCCCACCCTGCTGATGTGCAGCAGCCACAGGCAGCTCTGACCGAGTCTGTCCCTGTGTCAATAGATGAGCCTCCGCCTGAGCAACTGGACAGCAAAGCTGAGAGACCATCTGGGTCTACTGCTACGGTTGTCTTGAGCAGTGCGGTCCCTGAGGAGATCAGTAACGAGACCACAGAGTCGATTGAACTGGAGCCCAGCCATCCTCAAACTGTCTCTCAGTCCCTCCTCTTGGAAGTTACTTCTCAAGTTAAGCCATCACCCACAACAGACGTGGTGTTGGAGCCTGCAAAAGAAGATGCAGGCCAGGTGGCACTGAAGGGGACTCCCCAGGTGGAGGTACCTGAGGTCAGCGCTGAAATGGAACAGGCTGAGAGCTCGGTTGTAGAAGAAAGCCCTGTAGCTTCTGAGACCAGTGTGGTCACTGAGGTAAAGGAGATGAGCACAAGGGAGACTGTGGCTACTCCAGTGATTTCTAAGCCTACAAAGACTGTTCCGCAGCCTGAAAATACAGTGGATGTAGTAACCAGTGTTGCTGGGGAAGGAAAGGAGAGCACTCCAGAAGCGCAGAAACCCATTTTGCCTCCTGTCGAATCTTCTGTGCCCGTCGAAACAAAGGAGGACGATCAGGCAGCTGAAGAAGCTTTAATGGCGATTCCAGTCTCGGGGGGACCACAGAGAACAGCGACAGACTTCTATGCTGAACTTCAGAATTCAACAGATCTGGGCTATGCTAATGGCAACCTTGTTCATGGATCCAACCAGAAGGAGTCCGTCTTCATGCGCTTGAATAATCGCATAAAGGCCCTGGAAGTCAACATGTCTCTCAGCAGCCGGTACTTGGAAGAGCTCAGTCAGAGGTGAGTCTGAGGATGGTCTCAGCCACTGACACAGAGGAACATACCTATATGGGGAGTAACATGGGAAGTCGGGTAGAGTGTAAATCACAGCATAAAGCTTTATGGAAAACTGAGGCAAGTTACTAAGCCTGGGCAGCTGCTGGAGCCCCCAGCTGTCTGTCTGTGTATGGCAGAGGTTCCCTCTTTGCATTTCAGATACAATCACATTTATTTTGTTCTGAGAACTATTGCTGTGGGTTTTTTAAAAGGATAAAGCGTGTCCAGGATGTAGGCACTAATCCTGTCCCTAATCCTTTCAACAAAAGGGCACATCCTTCTGTTGCTTTAAAATTGAATGCCACAGACCTACAATGCCTTCTTTATTGCATTATTTCCACTTAAATTACCGTGTTACCCATCTGTAATAACTCCTGTTGAGTAAGTGAGTGTGGGAGAAGGAACTAAGAGCTTTCTGTGAGGGATGTATCTATATTAGTATTTATCTGTGGTGCTTCTTAGCCACAGGAGAATGGGGAAATGTTCCAGTTTCAGAATTGGTTCCAGGGAAGGGGCTCTTCATTATACTTATTGTTGTGTTTTCTGTCTTGGCAGTCAGTGTTTCCAGAGTGAATTCCAATAAATTGTCACTAAATTCCAAGGTGTTGAAATAGATTTGATTTTATCCTTGGGAAGGGGGGGAACCCTTAGAAAGACACATCTGTTTTATGTGTGAAACTTAAAAGCAAATGCCACTTGATATTCAAATAAAACATCTCTGGCCAAAGAGAGGTTTTTCACTGGCATAGTCACATTTTCTGAAGAGAAGTCTAAGCTGAGGAGTTTTATGCACTAATATTTCAGATTTACATGCTCTTTGTTTTAGGTACCGAAAGCAAATGGAAGAAATGCAGAAGGCTTTCAATAAAACAATAATAAAACTTCAGAACACCTCAAGGATAGCAGAAGAGCAGGTATGACTTGTTGGAGTATTTAAGTGTTTTCCTAATTATGAAAGTTTGCTTTTAATGAAGAGTTGCAAGGAGATGGAGAAATCCTCTTTCAGTTGAGCTGTATATCTATCTTTTACAAGCATCCATTCCATGCTTCCCTATATTTTTCTCCATAGTAAAATTTTTATGTATGTTCCCAGTTGTTTTAGAATAAGGCCATCCGCAGCTCTGTTTTCTGATTTTTTTAAAATAAAAATAAATTGTTAGCTGGTAATGGCTAAAACTCCTTGGTCTTTGTCAATGAAAAAGTCATCCAGGTCAGTCCCAGCCCTTGTTTCTTGATTGTAGCTGCACTCAAAACAATTTTTTTAACTTGGTTGGTTTTCCATATTTGATTTAAAGTATTGATAGACAACTTCTCTGCTGCTGCTCAAGAGACCTAACCTATAGAAAGCCAGAGGGGTACAGTAATGGGTTAAGTGAAATTTGTATTTGAAAGTGTAACTTGTGTAACAAAAGCTTTAGTTCATTCTTTAAAATGTGGGTTTTCCCTGCTCTGCCATCCTGGCTTTTCTGAGCAACTGTGGGATACAGCCTGGATGGTTGTGCTGAATATTCACTAAAGCAGCTGTGCCTGTGGCATAGCAGGCTGGGTCCCAAACTGTCTGAAAGTTTCTGAAGTGCAGTCCCAGCTGTAGTTTGCTCATCCATCAACAGTGAAGAAAATGGCAACTTCAAATGTGTTCTCTTTTTTCTGTTCTGTTTTTTTTGAAGAGTATCAGTGCTGGTCAGTCTCCTCTTGGTTAACCTTCCTGATACTCTGCTCACCTTCCTTAATTTCTCATAGGATTAAGAATCCTGTCAGGGCTCTTTCCGGGGAGCAGCTCCAAAGTTGTTGTTCCTGGCTCCTGTCATTAAGTGACAATCTGCCTGATCCTGGAACAAGAGCTCTGTGTCAGCCCTCAGGCTGGAGCTGTGCCTGGCCCTGTGCATGTGTGTTGTGTGACGTGGCAGTCCTGAGCCTGCTGACAGCCCCTGCCTGGAGCTGGCTGCTCCCTGCTTGCAGTGAGGGCAGCACAACTCACTGGAATGAAATGCACTTGGCATAACTTTACGAAATGTTTTCTGACAAGTCAAAATGTTACATAAAGCTGTGCTGAAAACCATGCTGCGTGAGTCATGTGGCTGCAGAGTGCCTGGCTGTGTCAGACAGAACACGAACTGAACACAGGAGTGCATGTGATAGTGGGAACCTGACAAGCACTGGCATGACCGTGACTCTCTCTAACACAGGACCAGCGTCAGACAGAAGCAATCCAGCTGTTACAAGCACAGCTCACCAACATGACCCAGCTGGCTTCTAATCTGTCAGCGACTGTGGCCGAGCTCAAACGGGAGGTAATTACAGTTCAGCGCTATGGCACGAGGACTCAGAGGGAACAGATGCGTAAACAGATCTCTGTTTGAAGAGACCAGTCTTTAAATGAAACTTTAATTTGTCTGTAGTGTTGCTTTCAGCTTGCTTTATCCTAAACTTTTAGCTACAAATTTGAGTAGCTTGAGCTACTCATATTGGTAATAATTGGTAATAATTACACAGCAAAATTGGTAATAATTATTACAGCCCTACTAGCCCCATGACTGTAGTCTGAGCTAAGGCACCTTTCTCCTTTCCTCACTGGATACTGTCATCTTCAGAGATTAGGTGGATTTTGGCAACAACACTGGGAAAGTCTTGTCTCAAATGTTTATGTTCTCCTGCCTGGCATTTCAAGCAGTATCATAAACATGACCTTTTTTATTTTGTGCCTGTTGCCAGAGACCTCCCTTGAGCTGTTTTCTAACCCTTAGTAAAACTTGTTCTTTAATGCCTGGCTGGCTAAGCTCCTGTGGTTGGTGAAACCACATTGAATCAAATGACTGTAATGGTGTTCTATGAAGTACTTTAGTGTCAGCTGACGAAAAGCATCACTTAGATTTGCTGTAGTGTTGCATCTGTGTCAGCTGTAAACCAGAGAAGTTACCATCTGAGCATGCTTTTTTATGGGCAGTATATTGCTTTCAGGTAGGTTTGAATGCTCTTTATGAGAGATGGCAGCTTCTCTAGTTACACTGGTACTGTAGGCAGTGAAATACTGTCCTGTGTTAGCAGGTAGTGGGGTTCAACCTTCACAGCTGCACAGCCAATAGATTGCATCAAACCTCTGAAAAATTACTCCAGTTTGAACAAGTGTTGAGTGAAACTGAAGGACAGTGCCTTGAAAACATGCCATTTGTCTTTTTAAACCACGAAAATAGTAGTATCACGAAATTATTCTGTCTTTAATAATTGTATCCAATTCCTGCAGGTTTCTGATCGACAGACTTACCTGGTGATTTCACTGGTTCTTTGTCTCATCCTGGGCTTGGTGCTTTTTGTGCAGCGGTGCAGGAGCCCTTCTCAGTTCTGTGACGATTACCTCTCAAAGATTCCCAAAAGCAATCACTACCCTAGCCCCAAAAGGTAACATATTTACATTTGAAACTTAATTGTTCCTGTAGCTTTTTTCAGTATTTCCACAGTGTTGGTACTGGCACTTCTGCTTTAATTCTGAGTCTTCTTCCTGCACAGTCAAAATTGTTGGCAAAGAGCCATTACTGCTTTGTAGTAACACTCTCCTCGAAGCATTGTGGGGCCACTACACTTGATACCCTGTTGCAAACACAGTACTGTGTCTGATTGCCAGGCTGTCTTGGGCACCTCAGTTCTGTCTTTCTGCCAAAAATGCTTCCTAATGAAAAATGTGTATGACAAAGTACTGAGAAAAGTGTGTTAAAAGTGCTTTCTGGAATTTCCTAGGTGTTTTTCCTCCTATGATGATATGAATTTGAAAAGAAGAACTTCTCTTCCACTGGTCAGATCACAGTCTTTTCAGCTAGCTGGTAAAGAAGGTATTATTCATATTGTACATCTGATTTCTGTTGTTACTCTTAGTGCTGCACAGTGTGCATGTAGTTCATGTATGTGTTCTGTAGGACAAGGTAATTTGTGAACAAATAATCAGATATTCATAGAACTGTGCTGAATTACGCTAAAACCTTAAATGCAATTTTTGACATGAGTTTTGCTCTGCTCTGCACTTGTTTTCTTGGGGTTAGTAGCAATCCATGTAGGCTCTCAGATCTGCAAAGCTGTGAAGCTTGCAGAGTAGTTTTTTTCTCGTAAGTGCCAGACGTGGGAAGTCTGAGTGCCCTACTTTTCAGAAGTCCTGATAGTCTGTGTTTGAAACTTGGCAGGTTTTTTAGGATTCAAATTTAGCAACTGTAGTAAAAAATTTAGATCATTTATCTTGGCTTGGATATGAGGAATGATCTGGTCTTTTCAGTATCCATGTTAGACTTGGGACAACTGAATTTTGATTTCTTTAGGCCATCATTGTCATGCAAAACCGAGTGTTGCAGGTTATAGTAATTACCAAGTATGCAGCTGACACTGTTCTTTGGGTGCAGCAAAGTTGCCTCACAGCTTTTTGTGCTGTGAATGAAACTGCATGAAAACTCATAAGTTGAGTTGGAAATGTGTTGCAATAAAGACTAGCTGAGGCCTATACTATTTTATTTTCTCTTTTGAAAAAACCCACACTTTTCCTGAATTCTCCCCTGCTTCATCTTGGAAGAATGATTTACAAAGCACCGTTGGAAGAATGCCAGACTGGTCTCATGCCATTCTGTGGCCTTGATAGGTGCACATGCTTCTGTCCTGTCAAGTCAGGCTGCATGTTAAACGCTGTTATACTGGTTTGTTTTCTTAGACCTCAACTTCTGCTGACTCCTGCTCCTTTTTCCCAAAGGATGCTCTCTGCACCTCTCCCATGACCTAATTTACCAGAAAGCCACCTGTTTTCAAGTGGATGCCACTGACAGCTGCCATGACAGCACAAGGGAATTCCTCTGTGTGCTCCCCTCACTTCCAGTGTTTGTGTTGTGCCCCCTTAACTTACAAAGGGAGAAAAAAATGCATCTGATAAGTGGAGTACTTTGTTGTGCTGCTCCTTACTTAGGATTGTGTTGCTCTAGAGCTGGCAGTGTCACGACTGCTAAGTCTGGGTTTCCTCTCTTGCAGTGGATCCAGAGGATCTGTACATTGTAGAACCTCTGAAGTTTTCCCCAGAGAAGAAGGTACTGTGGGGTAGGGTGGGGTGGGAGGGCTGGTGGGGCTGAGGTGCTTGTGCTGGCAGAGGTGATTGGATGTGTCTTGGCTGCTCTGCTTCCCTTCCAGAACCTCACTGTTGCTTCTTTTTCACTTGTGGTTTCAGAAAAAACGTTGCAAATACAAAAGTGAAAAGCCAGAGACTGTTAAGCCGACAACGGAGCCTGTGCATCCCATAGCCAACGGGGAACTCAAAGGAAGGAAGCCCTTCACAAACCAGAGGGACTTCTCTAACATTGGGGAGGTTTATCACTCGTCCTATAAGGGCCCTCCATCCGAGGGAAGCTCCGAAACGTCATCGCAGTCTGAGGAGTCCTATTTTTGTGGCATTTCAGCGTGTACGAGTCTGTGCAATGGACAGACCCAAAAGACAAAAACTGAGAAGAGGGCCATAAAGCGAAGACGGTCGAAAGTGTCAGACCAAGGGAAGCTCATAAAAACTCTAATACAGACTAAGTCGGGGTCAATGCCAAGCCTGCATGACATAATCAAAGGAAACAAAGATATTACAGTGGGAACACTTGGTGTCACAACAGTGTCTGGACACATCTAAAACTAGCTGAACTTCTCAAACAGGAGAGTGTTTGTTCGTTTGAGAACAGTCTGTGGTATTCTGTGGGAGGATAATGGGAGACAAAGAGCTCAACTAATTGGAAAGTATTCAGAAATTTGGTTTCTGCCTTTTTAAATAGATGGGATTGTGTCAATCTTGGCTATAAGCTGCAGCTTTACGAGGCTGATAATTTCCTATGAGAACAGCTTGGGGGGAGGGCAGGGTTCATTTTATAAAGGTTTTTTTTCACAGTTCCTGGGACAGAGATTTTTTGAAACCCAGTTTGTTGGGTGGAATAGGGATAAAAGCCTAATCCTCTTCCTTTAGCTTTGTTCCTATTTCTTGCACCTTCCCATATTTATGTGCCTTTTGTCTATTTATAATGCCACTGGAAGAGGGGAGATTACAATTGTTTGTCATTTGATTTATTTTGTAATTTCTCTAGCTTTTTTTGAAGATGCAACACTACAGTGCTGTAAAGGGACACGTGTTGGCCTTCAGCTGGACTCGGTAATGTGGACTGGATACTGTAAAAATACCAATAGATGGACTTGCCTGACTAGATTCTGGGTTTGCAAACTCTGAGGAAAATATGTCACCAGGGTCGGTAACTGTGTTTAGTTGCACCTTCAGTCACAAATGTGAGCTGCAGTCTGTGCAGAATCGGTGACGGTGGCTCTCCAGGACTTCCCGCGTGCAGTGGAACCTGAGGCTGATGAACGTGTTTGCCGTGTCAGTGGCCTGCTGCAGTTCTCTGAAGGAGGTGGATGAAGAATGCTCACTGCTGCTGTGCTGAGTTCAGTGAGAGCTCAGCTGAGGAACGGGAGGGTGAGCTTGGTTTGGTGCAGCCGGGCCCTTCTCCGAGCCGGCTCTGGGTGTGTTGAGTTTGCAAAGCCTGCGGGTCTGAGCAGTCGGGCTGGTTCACTGCGGGTGTTCCCAGAACGTTTGCTTTTGTATTGGCTAACAAATGTGCAGTGTTGGTATGGTTGGTATTTCATATTCAAGTGTTTTTTTTTTTTATTTTGACTGTGATTGTATATTTGGATACTATAGGATGTGTGGTTGCTAAAATGTTGAGTGTGATTCTGAATGAGTGGAACAAAAGGTTATTCCTTTTGACAGGTGTTACAGGTTCACGTTGTACAAAATAAGTTAACTTATTGAGCACTTTTAGTGGTACCCTTTTTAACAGATCTAATGCCTTTCCTGGGTATTGTATGTAATGTGACTTATTTAAGGACTTTGGTTTTTTTGCTGCTTTCTTGTTAGTTTTTGAATACTTTAAAGTGATGTACTTTCAGAGTTGATCTGCACAATTAGCCAGTCAGAGCACATGAACCAGACGTGTTGAACCTGAATTCAGAAGGGTGTCAAACCTGGATTAGGAAAATACATACCACCAGAGTGCAGCATCCAATGTTGTGGAACAAGAGTATGTAACTACAGAGCTGTAGTGCCATTAGAAACTGTGAATTTCCAAATAAATCTGAACACTTTGTCTTTCATTTACTGGTATTTTTCCTTTGAAAATGAAACTTGTGGCTTAAATGTCTGACAAGGACTGTTCTTTCATTTTCAGTCCAGGACTAGGACTGGAGTCCTTTGGCCCTACTAAGAAGTTCATAAACTCAGCCTAGATGTGTTTGTCTATTTAAAGAAAGAAAAGGGGGAGGTGAATTCTGACGGCCAAGTTGTGCTTCATCTGACAGTTCAGGAATTGTGACCCTGTGAAACTGCTGGAGAAGTTTCCAGCAGGTCAGTTCACACCTTGCCCAGGGGGATCCCTGGGCGTGGTGGCTTTCTGTGAGAATGATTGCACGAAAATGACCTCTTGGTACTCAGAGCTAAGGTTTGTGAAGATATAAAAGGCCCTGAATGGAAAATGTTAGGGAGTCATTATTTCAAACCAGAGTTTTCAGCTTGATTTGGCTCTTCCTGGTCACTCCCTCCTACCTTACTTCTGTCAAGCACAGCAGCACTGTGTGCAGCCAAATGCTGAATTCACAGGCTCTCTAGCACTGATTTTTCACTTGAGTGTCTCAAGACTCTCTGCTTCATCATAGCACTGTTATTTAAAAAGGAATCAAGTGTGGGTTTTGCTGGGGGGGGCGGGGTTTGGATGGCTAGAGTGGCTGTTTTTTGGGGGGGAGGTGTGGGCTGCTTTTATTTACCCCTTTCTCTTGATATGTCACTTGTAGGAAGCTGTGTACCTTCATTGCCCAGGCACTGCTGGGCTCTTCTCTTCAGTAAGAATCACCTGAAACTGGACATGTGTGAATTCTTAGAACAGCCCATCTTTACTCCCTGGCTGGGAACCAAAGACTGGCAGGTATATACTAGGCTGATAAGTGTTACAACCCTCCCCAGAAGAGGGGGGTAACCCAGGTTCTTGTTATTAAATCCTTTGGGGTGGATTAGAATGAAACAACACTCAAGAACTGGTGTTTGTAAATATATATATGTGTGTGTGTGTATATATATGTGTAGGGTTCATTTTAGAACAATGTTGTTTCAAAGGTAAGCAGATGTGTTGCCCTTTTGGGTGCTATCATCTATAGTGATACAGCAGTATTAAAGCATAGCAACATTAGGGCATAAAAATAACACTTAAGAAATTGTATAAGGGAGAGAAAGGGAAAGAAAGGATAAAGGTCCTAAGATATATATAGTCACCACTCTACTGGATGCAGCAGTGAAACTTGGTAGTTGCAGCTTCCATGTCTGTTGGTTGAAGTGGTGGTCTTGGTCTGTTGGGGCTGGGGTAAGACCCTCCCCTCCCTCCAAACTCAAATATTTCGTGAATCATTATTATACACTTCAAGCTCAGGGAATGCCTCGTACCTCCCCTGGGCTGGGGAGTTTTTCAGTGGATCACGTCACGAGTCTTGGATGCTCCCCAGAGAGGTCTTCACAGCAGAGCCATCTTGTAAGGGAGGACACTGGCATGATAAGAAGGATTATCCTGCTTCTGCAGGATTTGCCTCTTCCTCTTTCTGGCAATCCAGTTTGTAGCTTCAGCTGGGGGGTAGTTGGACCCACTTACCTCATCTGAAGGTCCTTTCCCAGCAGCAGTAGCATGTTCAGGGAGGGGGAGGCTTTGCTGGTTGTGCAGCTGTTCCTTTTCAGTTTGCTACAGTGGACAAAAGTCTTTTGGTGATCTTACAATGTTTAAGCCAATAACTGTTTCAGTCTGACAACGTTGAAATTCCAAGCACACGTTCACAGTTCCAAGTGAACAGTTTCAGATGTCAATCCAAATGCCTTCTAAACCAATCTTTTAATACCCTGTGCTCTCTATACACTTTAAGCACTGGACATGAATTAGATCTAAGGAGTTGATGCATTCTGTGGAAGAGTATCAGGGATAAAGCTTGTCCTGTAATGAACAGGAAGTGTGCCATGGGAATAACACATCTGAAGGAACCTACAGAGCTGATTGTGCTTCTGCAGACTCAAGACTGTGTGCTCTGGCAGGAGACTGGAGACTGAATCACAGCTTCCACCTTCCGCTGACTTCCTGCTTTTAAGTATCTATAACCACTTTTTTCAAAAAAAACTCTCAACATCAGGTTCTTATTGCTTCATGTTGTCCTTTCATGTGGGCTCTTGAGTAATTTTTTACTTTCAGTTGTATTAATGTCACGCAATCTAGCTTTCAAAATTTGATTCTTTGGTGGAATCCGGTCTCTCAAATTGGTTGTAATCTTTATATAGGGAATAATAGTTTCTAATGAAGACAGTCTATAAATCTCAATTCCTTTGGTGGTGTGGAAATTTAAATGGAGGGGGGGAGGGCAAGTCCATCTTGTGATAATACACACTGAGATTGGACAGCTGCTGATGTAAAACACCAAGAAGCCAGTGTGTGTGTGCTGAGTGAGGATGGTGTTCTTCAGACCTTGGGCAGGTCTGGAGCCCATGGTCAAAAAATATCTACAGAATGCAGAGGTCTTCTCAGGGGGATGGATGGTCACAAACATACGCCTTGTGTAAGTGAATTACCAGCCGTGGTTGCCAAAATAAGGCATTTAGGTTATATGCATCAAGTATCAGAGTGGAAAACCAACAGTTTTTAAATATGCAAACTCTACCAGAGATTTGGTGTTGTAAGTAGAGAATTCAAGTCTGAGGTGTCTCTGTGTGGCTTCTGGTTTTGCCAGGTTACAGCACAAGAACAAGCAAGATGGAACAGCTTAGCGTGCTTTGTTTAATTGGGTACAAACATGTTCCACTTGATTTGGAACAACTGAAGTGTAGGTTGCTGACCACAAACTGCTGTGAGCAGGCACCGGGTGGCTCATCTGGAAACCCGAAGTGTCAAACAGCACTGGGTGCTGTGGGAGACATCACTGTGGTTTGTGAGAGCTCAGAGATCATCCGTGTCCCTGGAGCTTGTCTAGATAAAACACCTTAGTTTAGGAAAGGGTACTGAAATGCATCTTTCTTACTTATCCCTTCTCTAATTTAAGGATGGTTACTTTGAAAGAAGTTTCCAAGGAGCTTTCTGCTGCCTTGCTGCTGTCTCACACTGGACCTGTGGCCTGGCAGCTGCAAGTCACCTGTGGTGCTCTCCAGTGGAGTCTCCTAGTAACTCCCACATCAGTAGTACAGCTTTTGGTAGGGAATGCAGAGGAAGTTCTGCACTTTGTGGACCTAGAGATGGAAAAGAAATGTTTGCCACCCTGAGGCTTGTTCTTCCTTTGTTAGATGTGGTCAGAGCCTACATCCAGCTGCCAGGCCCTCCACAAACTTGCAACAAACAAGAATCTGTTATATTTCTTTTCTCCCAGATAAATAACTTAAAGCAGATAATGAATCTTCTGTTAGTCATAATTTGACACAGTTACTGCTGGAACGTCAAGGTTGTGTAGACTACTCATGGAACCACCTGTAGCTCGAAGTTAAATCCCAGGAAAGTGAGCGGAAGGTCCCTGGGGTTTTGGGAAGTCAGCTGATCTCTGTGCTGGCACACTTGGTGTTGGGCTCTGTCACAAAACCAATGCTGGAGGACCTGAATTTGCTGAGTGACCTGGAGCTGAGGTGTGATCCTGGGGGACTCAGTGAAGATCTCAAGGTAGATCTTGGGAGATTTTGTTGGTAGATCTCATTGGGTTTTTTGTTGTTGTTGGTTGGCTGGTTTGGGGTTTTTTGTTTGTTTGTTTTTCATGGGCTGAAGCTGCTCCCAGGAAAACAAAATTGTCAAATACCAACTAGGCCACGTTGGCCAGCAGAGCCAGCTGGTGTTTCCCAGGGCAAAGGCTGGCACTGTGCTGAGAACCTGGAGCAGGGCACAGCCCCTGCTGAAGAGCTTGGGAGTGCAGTTCTCAGCTGTCACTGGGGAGGAGAGGGGAAATCAGCATCTGCACGTCCTCACAACCTCTGAGCGGCCACAGCACCTCGTTACGTTTTCTCCCATGACTAAGCTATTGTATGACATGAACTGACCTGCTTCTGTTTCTCAGAATAGATCCCCTTACCTCATAACCACTATACCTCATTTCCTTGCTCGAAATGAAAGCAACAGAGTAATAGTTTAATTATTTCTCTTTTTCTCGGCTGCTTTGGCTCCTTGGATTCTTTCCCACCTCGGGACAGAGCCCTGTACCTCTTTTGCTGAATTCAGGGCTGCTGTCTGCTTGTTGGAATTCAGGTGAAGGAGAGAACCAAGTCACCTTGCTCACTGGAATAGGGACACATATTAAGCACTGCAACACCAGTCCTGAGCTGTTAGCAATGGATTTTGAAACTTGCTTGTGTGAATATCTGAATGTCCCCCCTATGAGCTGTTGGCACCAAGACATGGCTTTACATGTGTTGTAAATTCTTCTAGCAAGGAGAGCAGTCAGTGAAGAAATGAAAAGCATCACCTGCATTTAGGAAACCAAACTGTTAAAAAACCATGTAATAAAGAAACAACCCAAAGATGTCAGCACCAACTGCAAAGGCTGGGTGAGTTCTAGTGTCTTCCATGTCTCTCCAAGGTTTTAGTAGATGAAGATCCTCTCACATAGACTTGGAAGTGGGTTCCAGGACTATCTCTCTGGTGTTGTATGTGAGCTCTTATGGGGCAACCCCTGGGAAACCCTGGGCTTTCCCTACTGGGAGCTCAAGTCCATCTGAGGAGCCTCTCAGGTTCAGAATAATTTTCTTTCTAATATGGTATTTTCTACCAAAAGAGCTTGATTTGCAGTCTTTGTTTCTAGACTTGTTTTCTTCTGACGTAATTCCCTGTCCTCGTGGTTTTGAATACTTTTTTCTGAATGCGAATGATTCTCAACTTCCTCAGATCTTGGGTGTAATTTATGCAGGCCTGGGGGCTTTCAGGAGTTGCTTTTTGGCATTTCCACTAGTCAGTAGTGTAATAGGAAACATTTGGCAATTGCTTTCAGACAGACTGTCCAAAACATGATGAGAACCTCTCCTACACAGAGGTTCACACTTAAGTTGGTTTTATTTTCTGTCAAGTATTAGATCTGGATCATTGTTCAAATCCTGCTTGCTTTGGGATTTTTCAGGCAGGTCATCCTTTTGTCCCTAAATCTGCTGATACAAACTTGTAGCTGCTGGCTGGTTCTCTGCTGTCAAAATAAACTTTAGCATAGTTGTGTGTATTGTTATTAAGAGCTCCCATCTCTCCTCTTTTTCAGTCTGTGTCATGTTTTTGTCGGTTTTGGCCAAGGGGAACAATTCTCTGATAAAAGCTACAGAAGGTGTTTCCCTTTGAAAATACCTTTTTCTGTTCAAATTACCTGATAAGTCTGCTGGAAACAGAGTGCATCTTGCAGACTGGTTGAAGAGGGGGATAGACAAAAAGGGAGGCAGATAGACAAATCTGATATGTTTTTTGTCCTTCTTATGCCCTCCTGTCCTGCCAGAATGTCCTCGTCCAATATTTTAGGAGGGCTTAACCTTGTCTAAATCAACACCAACTGCTCTGTGACTCTGTGATCGTGACGTGCTGTGCAAACACAGCCACTGTCTTCTGATGTCTCATCTTGGTGATATCTGAAGCTGGTGACAGGGAAAACGGAGTGTGACAGCAGGACCAGCACAGTGCAGTGTGTGAGGAAGGGAGAGGTTCCTGAAGGAATGTTGTGCACCAAACACAGTCCTTTGGTGGTAAAGTATCCGTGACCCTTGGCTTGTCATGGCGTGGTTTTTAGCAGGCTGGTGATTGGAGCATTCAAAAGCCAAGATGCAGCTGAAATGGCTTTAGCTGATTTCATTGTCTCTCCCTCTCACCCACCAATTAAAAAAGCATCTTTGTGAAAATAGGAAGGAGTGGGTGAGAAATAATAACCCTTCTGACATTTAAGGGAGGCTGCTACTGTGCCCTCCATCACACCAGGATAAGATTTTGGTGTTAAACATGGCGTCAGGAAAAACTTGAGAACGAATCCTTTCCAGGCAAAGGCACTGCATGACACTCTCTTGTAACAGTCATGGGAGTGGATGGGGACCTGTCCTTGTGCTGGCTGGGGAATGCTGCTCTGGGGTGCTGAGAAAGGGTAGGCATAACCCAACTTGAACTGCTGGAGTTGGATTTATGTCACTTTGTGTTTTTTAGTCAGAAACCTCGAAGTGCAAGGAAGAGCCAGACGGAGCTGTTGAAGCCTCTTTCGCTGCACATCGCTGCTGCAGCAAAGGGCTGTGGTGAACATCTTCAAAAAGCAGTGGCGTGTCTGGTGGTGCAGGCATGGTTTTGGCGGCACATCTGATGTATTGGTGTGGTTGGAGGCAGAGCTGAGCCCTGGCTTTGGAGAAACAAGTGTACGTACGTTATTCAAGTGTGCTCTTCTCAGATCCCAGTTTTGATGTTCAAGATCAAAGCCTGTTTATTGGGATCGTTTCCTTCAGCCACAGGTCTCCAGTTTGTTCTTGTATCAAGCATTTCAGTTTTTTAACACTACTCTACAAACACACACTTCTGTAAAAAGGTCCGAACAAACTGTTTATAATCTCTTGTGTGCGCCTGTAACTCTCTGGGAAAATCTCATTGTCACCACTCAAATCTGCGGTCAGTGAGGAATGGAAATTGAGGAATGGAACTGTCCCTGTCTCTCTTCATTAGGATTTTGTAATGAGCTAAGTGCTGGTCCTTGCAGCATGGCCTGGATTCTGGATGCTTTATTGAAAGGCAAGAGAAATCTTACTGAGTGGCACTGTCTACCCCTGGCTTTAATCAAAAGTTACCCAGCCAGGTTAGGTCTTCCTCCAGTGCTCAGCTCTGACCTGGAGAGATGATAAAAAAGCCCTTCCTTCTGTGAGGCTTCTTCATGTTAGAAGAGGGCTGTGGGATTGGAGATAGTATTTGCAAAGGTAAGAGGGGCAGCAGAAGCTGCCAGGAGAGCCTGCCTGCTTGTGCCCCACATCACAGCAATCCCCTGGTTCAGCCTGGCCAGTGCCCTGGGGGATCAGTGGGGGTGAAGGCAGCCCACCGAGCTCTGCTTGGGCTGGTGATGGTGGAGCAGCTCTGTTGAGGCTGCAGCACTCAGTGTCCTCCTCTTCTGACTTAGACTGTTTTTTATCGCAGTGGAATGGTGTCTGTGATGCAGGATCCACGCCCTGTGAAGCAGCCAAGGAAAAGGTCAGATGCAAAACAGACAATGGTGAGGAATTTGTCCCATGTGAAATGAAGTGACTCCCCAGGACTCACAGCTGCACTTGGCATTGGTTCCTCATCCTTCTGCAGAGGGCAGAAGTCATCAGCTCTGTCTCTGCCCTCTGGTGCGGGGTGCCAGAGGTTTTGTCGTTCCTTTTGCTCTGCTTGTGGTCTGGGACACCGCAGTGGAAAAGCAGCCGCCTCTGTCCGAGTGGGCTGCTGGAAAGAGTGGCTGGCGGTGGGTATGAGCTGTTACTCAGCCCGGGACTGGCAGCGCAGCGCTCGTACCCCCCAGCCCGTGGCTGCGGGAGCGCGTTGGGCTCCCGAGCCCCGCGGGCTGGTCCCGCTGCTTCGCGGGGGAGGAGCAGGTTCGTGCCCCGAGCCTGCAGCCGAGGGCGGAAGCTCTTTGGGGTTTGCTGTCGGTGCTTGAGGCTTTCAGAGAGTCGCAGCATCTGGGCCGGGTTCTCACCGGATGCAGGGATGCAGGCGTACAAAGGCAGAGCTGGGGGCTCCCCCAGGGCTCGGCCTGGGACAACCCCGGCAGTTTTTGGCTGCCGTGAGGAGGAGGACACCAAACGTGTCCAGCCCATCCCGCTCCCGGCCATGCAGCAGAACTTGAACTACGGCTACCCCCCGATTTTTTGGGTGGACGGCTGTGCTGAAACAAGTACTTCCTGTCCCTCGGCACCCCCTGTTGCTCCTTTCCCACCGCCAGTACCCGACCGGAGGAGAAAGCCAGGGAAAAATAGGGAAAGGAGGGGCATCGACTTCCTGGTGATCTACCTGCTGCTCCTGCTGGCCTTCACTGGAGTGGGGCTGAGCATATTTCGGATTTTTCAACTGGAGAAAGAACTGGCTGAACTCAGAGAGGTGAGGTTTGCCTGGCTGGTCAGACGACCCTGGGAAAACAGGGAAAAGGAAAAACTTGAAATTGTGTCTGAAATGCTGAGGTGGTGCAAAGCTCCCCAAGGGGCAGGGTGGTGCTTACTTCAGTGTCTGCCGTGACAGAGTAAGTGGGGTTGCTTATTACTGCTGGGTTGGTGACAGATGTATCTGCAGGTCTTTGCACTCCTGAGTGCTGTGAGGTCTCTCCCTGTATATTCGTTAGCACTTTGCAGCTCCCCGTGAGCACCCAGAACGTGCCCCTGCCAAGGACAGTCTTTGGCTGCTTATGCTCTCACTCTAAGGCAGTGTCACTCTTCTCTTTTGACAGTCTGCCAGCGCTGAGCACATCCCTCCAGCTCTGGAGAAACTCATAGGTGAGTTGATGTACCGGGGGGAGGAACGCCTGTGTCAGCAGCTGTGAGTGCTCCTGTCCAGCTCATTCCTCTCCTCATCAGGGGTCACAGCTTGATGCTCTGGGAGTGCTGATTTCTTGTGCTTGGCTGGACAAAGAGCTTTATCTCAGGGTTGTGGGGATGTGGTCCTGCAGCCTCCCTGCTGGACTGCTCGGAGGTGTCAGCCACAGGTTCCTGGGACAGTGTGACAGGTCCTGGGGCTTCCCATTCCTAGTGTGACAATGGTACTGGGAGTGCTCTGCTGTGAGAGGGAGAATCTGGCTGCCCTGACACAGCAACAATGTGAATGGAAGGAGGAGGAAAACGGGCACTGCACTTGTCACTTCTTTCTCTCCTTACTTCTTCCTTAATCTTAGAAGATTCTGGTATGATGTAGAGGAGTCTGTTTTGTTTGGAGTGAGGAATTAACTCCCACCCTTGAAAGCACACCTAATTTTTTTCTTAAATTCTTTCAGTACTAATCTAGTTGAGAAATGCTTGATTACATGGTAGAGAGTTTTTCTCTTAGAAATGTCATTTCAGTGAAACTAAAACTTTCCACAAGAACCTGCCAATTTTTCTAGCTTTCACTTAGGAAAAAAAGAAAGAGTTTCAATTTGAATGGAACAATTTAAAAATCGTATTTTGAACTTCCAAACTATTATTTTTTCATTTGAATTCCATGTTAATGTTATCAATGAGAATATACTTCTTAAAGATGGCCAAGTCTGAAAAAAATTTGCAGCTCTCTTGACAATTTTTGCTAGATTTGAAAAGTTTTATTTTATTTTCTCCCCTTGAGGATTTTGGTTAGTAGAAAAGTTAATTTCTTTCCAAATTTGTTCTGATAGTGAATGAAAACAAATTTGAAAATAGGAAAATTCTCTGGAAGGGGCAGTCCTGGTTCCCACCAACTCTCGTATCAATAAATTTTCCACTTTAGGTGAAGAGGAACTGTCATTTTAACTGGATGCTCAGTGCTCTGATCTAAAGCTTCTTTAGCAGAAGCCACTTAAGTAGTAACCCTGAATTTCTTGAGGGGATGGAGAAATAAATAGAAACAGGGAAATAGTGTAAAGAAGAAGAGGGAGAGGAGAGGAAAATTTAATTGGCTTGAGGAAAGAATAGGCTACTTCTAAAGTTAGAGATAACATAATTAGTGAAGTAGATGCTGATAAGAAGGGAAGGATGGAGTGGGTGGGATCCATAATGGATGTTGGTGTAACTGGCCCACCTTTCCAAGGGAAGCCGAGGCCTCCAGGAAAGGCAGAGTTTTCCCAGCTGTGCTCTGCCACCCTGAGAACAGGGTCTGCTTGGCCAAATGGGGTGGTTTGTAGGGTCTCAAGTGTCAGCTTTGTGGGTGGCTCCCTCCTGCTCCCTGACCACATGGCTGACGTTGCCCCTGTTTTTGTGCAGGGCAGAAGGAGTCAATGAAAAAAGAAGAAAGAAAGGCAGCACACTTAACAGGTATGTGCTGAGGGACCAGCAGGATTGGGGAGCAGGGGATAGGGCAGATGTGATTGGGGTGAGAGGGTGTCATGGCTGTAGTTGTGAGGAGCCCACCTCACACAGGCCTTCCTATTTTCCCTGGAAAACAGCTGTGCCATGACATGGAAAGTTGCTCCACAGATAAAATCTCCCCCTCATTCAGTTGTCTCAGCAAGGCCTGTTTTTGGCTTGCCTCTGGGGTGTGTGGGGCAGAAGCTGTCACAAGGGGCTGGCATTGGTGAGGGGCCAGGTTAGGGTGAACTTTCCATGCTGCAGTCAAGGCCTCGGAGAATGGTTGACTTGTGACGTGGGGTGCGACTGAGGAAAAAAAAAACCCCACACAACTGTCGTACTTTACCACCCTTGTTTTTTGTTTTTTGTTTTTTTCTTGTTTCACCTTCCAGGGAGCCCATCCCAGCAGGGCCTCCCTCTGGAGTGGGAGCCCATCTCTGGCCATGCCTACACCAGTGACATTCAGTACCGTGACCGGGGGCTCGTCATCAACGAGACGGGGCTGTACTTCGTGTACTCTAACGTGCTGTTCCGGGGCAGTGTCTGCGATGGCCAGGTGCTCACACACATTGTCTACAAGAGAAACCCGAACTCCCCGGGCAGCCACGTGCTGATGGAGGACAAGGGCATCAACTACTGCACGGGTCAGAGGACATGGGCCCGGAAAAGCAACCTGGGGGCTCTCTTCAGTCTCAGGAAGATGGACAGCGTGCACGTCAACGTCTCCAAAATCGCTCTGGTTAATTTTGAGGAATCCAAGACTTTCTTTGGCTTGTTTAAGCTTTGAAATGGAGTGTGGCCAGCAGCTCCCCTCACACACACACTCTAGGATGTGAGGGCTGCCTGAGTGCAGTGGCCAAACTGGGGTCACACACCACGAAACTCACCAAGAAACCGTATTTTGGCCTTCAGCGTGAGAGGGTTCAAGCCACTGGTAAAGGCTTAAAAGCAGACACCTGGGAAGCATCAGAGCTGTACTGTGTCAACCTGAAGAGAACTGCACATATTCTCCTTACAAAGAAACCGCCAGCAAACTCAAAATGTGGTGTGCTGCAGACCCCACTGAAACTCACTACTTGCTACCTGAGAAGATGCTGGGGCCCGCAGCCCCACATGGTGTCATGGCCCTGGTGAGCTGGGGCCAGCAGGGACAGCTGGTGAGCATTATGGAGGTCCCTTGAGCCCGGACTGCAAGTGTCTGGGTTGTGCCACACTGCAGGGAGTGGTGTGGGAATAAGTAGTGCCAACAGCTGCTCACCCTGGGCCATGGCTGCCCACCCTGCCTGGGCACTGGGCTCTGTGCCTGCTGTCCAACAGGCACCTGCCTGCAAGCCAGGCTGTTAGAGCTGGTATGTTCATCTTGTGTTTAGCTATCAAACTGTTCCCATCCCAGAAAATGCTCCTCAACCCCTTTATTTAACTCATCCCAACTGTCTTGCACGGATCATGCCAGAAGCAGTGGTGGCATGAGGGAGGTCCTGACCCTGGAGTGGAACCATGACCACGCTGTGGGGGTGGGTCTGGTGGGGAGGCCACGTGCTCTGCTGACAGGATCTGAACAGCAGGGCAGTGGGGTTTAAGGTGAAAGCACCATTTCCATCCCCCCTTCTGCTCTTTCCAGATGTGAGGATCCCCTGTGGATCTGCCACCCCCTTCATGATGTATGTAGTGACATGTTGGCATCTATCCATGGCATGGCTTCAGTTGGCCCCCTTGTCATGAGATGTTCTATCCTGAGCAAAACCCAGATGGTAAATAAAGATATATTTTTCTAGTAGGTGACACTGTCCTCTCCTCCTTTGGTGCAACAGGCTTCTGCAATGGCCAAAACTCTGAAGGCTTCTGTGATCAGGGTCCAGCACCTTGTTCCTCCTCCAGCAGCATGGCAGAAATCTGGGAGCCTCGTCCCACTTCACTGCCTGCTTGGCTCTGCACAGGATCCCTTCCGTGGATCTTTGGGACTCCAGCATGCAGACATCAGGATTTGGGATCTGGGGAGGTGTGATGTGGGCAGCACAAACCAGGCAGCCCAAGCCCCCTTTGACCATCAGGAAGGGCCTGATCTCAAAACACAGGCTCGAGCTTGAGTGGAGCCAGACAGGTGTTGCTGAGCAGAAGCACTGCTGTCCCCAAAGACACCGTGGTCCTCTGTGTGACTTCTCACAGGGCAGTCTGAAGGACAAGGAAAGGAAGTGGTGTAAACAAAACCCTGTTTGCTCACTCTGGTCGGTGCAGTTGTATCCCCAGAGTTGTCTGTCACGCTACCACCAGGCAGGACCCAAAGGCTGCAGCTGTATTGCATCACCACTTTTGCCTGCGGTTCCTGCCTTCTTGCAGCTCTGATGTTGATCTGCTCTTCAGTAGCCTGCAGCATTTATTTTCCTCTCCCCCCCTGCTCTCAGGTTGATGGTGTGTGGCCTGTGGTTTGCTGTTTCTTGCTTCAGGTAAGCCTATTTCTTGGAAATTTGTCAGTGGTCTGGCTGCTGGTGTGTCCAGTGTGAAGGGAACACTGCGCCTCTGCTCACACACCCATTGCTGCACTCGCACTCAGATGGTTCCACTGCATTTCTCAGAATGGAACATATATCAAACAGATGAAGTTTAGGGACCTTTTGGCTTGACTGATTCTTCCCTACTACCCCACTCCTGCTAATATCAGAGAGGCAAACCACATAGCACAGAGATGGCAATGCTGGATCCAGACCCTGCCAGGAAAGGCTGGAAGTTGCCATCCTCTTTTTGTGCTGTGTTGCTCTCCTAGCGGTGAGACATCCAAATGGGGAGTGGGAATCTGTATGTACATGTGGCTGCAAGCTTTTCAGATGTTTCTGTAGCAAAACTAGCCGAGCACATCACGTGCTTCCCTTCTTTACTGGTGAAGAGCTTGGATAGAGGCAGGGCATTCCGTACCCAGAGGAACTCCCTCTGAGGTTCTGCTCCCTGCTAATTCATCCAGACTCTGCCTGTAGCTGCCTCTGGGGCAGGATGCAGCAGTTGCTATTGCTGCATGTCATGAGGGGACAGGCATCTGTTTGTCTTTTTGTCTGAAATGCCAAAGGCAACAAAGACCTGCACGTTTCAGAGATAGTGGCACAGTGGGGTGGATGGCCTTGTTATGTGTAAATAGTGCTGGGGTCTCCTGAGGTGGACAGAGCTGGCTTATCCTTGCAGGATAAAGCTGGGTGCTGCTAGGCTTGCTCCAGAATCAGAGAGCAGCTGTGACTGTGCAGTCACCAGCACAGATGCTCAGATGCCAATAAGACATGTGCTTCTGCTTTGTGATCCCTTCCTCAAATATCCCTCTAAACTGCTCACAGCAAATCCACTACTTAGCTTGTGGGCTTTGACTAAAGATTCCAAGTAAGATTGGGATGGGATTATGAAATTTCAAACAGCTCTGAGTCAGTTCATAGGCCGCTTGTGCCACAACAGCTCTATTAAAGTCATCTGTTTATCTAGCTAATGAGCTGTTCATTTAGTGAAATGAGTGCCTATCGTTACCGTTAAATACTTAGTGAATATTCAATGCTGACATTGGGCTCTGTCAAGCTGAGAGAATTGGGGTTATTCAGCCTGGAGAACAGAAGGCTCCAGGGGGACCTTAGAGCCCCTTCCAGTGCCTAAAGGGGCTCCCAGAGAGATGAAGAGGGACTTGTGACAAGGGCATGGGGTGCAAGGACAAGAGGGAATTGCTTTAAACTGACAGGGGGCAGAGTTAGATTGGATGTTAAGAAGAAATTCTTTACTGTGAGGGTGGGGAGGCCCTGGCACAGGTTGCCCCAAGAAGCTGTGGCTGCCCCATCCCTGGAAGTGTTCAAGGCCAGACTGGATGGGGCTTGGAGCAACCTGGGATAGTGGAAGGTGTCCACAGGCAGCTCTCCTGGGCAGCTGAACCCTTCCCAGGTGATGGCTGTGTGTTTGGCTGTGCAGCTGGCCAACTCAGGGCTCTGCACAGCAACCATTTGTGCTGCTCTGCAGCCAAGCACAGTGAGGTGCTCGATAAAGATATTTCTTCTTTCGTGGTTGATGCCTATCAGGGCTGATGCTGCACCCTATTTGCCCGCCTTGGGGGAGGAAAAGCGAGAGCAGGATGCCACTGTCGCGAAAACCTTGTGTAGGCTCAGTGTGTGCAGCAAACAAGGTGGCAGAAGGGGCTGCATTATGGAAAGGACTGTGTGGGTTGGGTCATTGCTGCTCCTACAGCAGAAGTGCAGTGGAAGCAAACAAAATCCTGGTAAGAGAGGAGAAATATTCCCTGGACAGCTATGAGCAGCATCCCTCATCCACGTATCCTGGCTCTTTACCAGTCCGTGGTTAATCTTGGTGGGGAGGAAGGTGACTGGTAAAGCAAAAGGAACAGTTGCTGATCTCCAGCTGATCCCCCGCGGGTGCCTGAGGGGGTCAGAGACAAGAAATGGAGCCACAACAGGGACTAACTCTTGTCAGGCTTTCTCAGAGACATGTCTTGTCTCAGAAACCTCAGAGCTTAGATGGTTAGCTGGAACTGTCACTGGTGAGAGGTGTTATATAAAACTGTTTCTGTAGCCCTCCCAGGGAGAAGAATATGAGTAAGAATGGAAGAATTGATATATCTGATGACACTCAAATCCTGTGAGTTTAGGCAGTAACCTTCTCTTTGATCTGACAAATTTTATTGGTGGTTTTTTTGGAGGTTGACTATTGTTTTCCTTTCTTTAATTTTCTTCATTTACCTGGAGCCAGCCTTGGCTCTCTAAGTTCCTGTTACAGTGTCTTGTGGGGTCACTTCTTCCAGCCCAAGGAGCTGTACAGACCCTGGCAAGTTTTTACCAGGTTGGGAAGGAGCATTGTCTGGTGGTTAGAGAGAAGAGAAAAATGAAGAGATGTAGACTTAGATATCGTTATTATTCTCGTAGTGGTCTGGCATGGCTATATTACAGCATGATTGCAAAAGTGTAATTTTAGGCATGACTGAGGTTCAACATAAAAGAACGAGATGAGTAAAGAGAGAGAAGAAATTTTGCTGCAAGGTGAGGCAAGTTGCATATGAATTTCTTATTGATTTTAATTATTAAAAAAAAAAAGAAAGAAAGAAGGAAAGCTTGACAACTTGTTGCTGATTCATCTCTTGGTGTAATTCAGCGAGTCAAATGTTCCACATAACCTGTTACAGGAGATGTGGGACTTTGGGCTGGCTGCAGGAGTTGGCTGGCAGTGGCTGCAGTGGTGTCTCTGAGTTCCCCAGCCCCTGCCTGTGGTGAGACAGCAATAGGATCATCCCAGGGGCCACTGGTTACCCCTGCCAAGACATCAGCAGGCACATGAACAGGCACACAGGCTTTCTGTTGTGAAGACTCCCTTTTTTTTTGAAAATCAGCTGCTCGTTCCTCTGGGTGGCAAAGAGACTAAAAGCTCTAGGTGGAATAACAAAACCCAATGTGCTTTCCTCTGTCTCAGTTGCTTCCCCATTCCTCAGCACGCTCTGTATTACTCAGCTCTCTCTTCAAAGAATCAGCTTCTCTCCCCCCTCACAAAGCATCATGGAGATTTCACATCTCTCTCTCCTTCCCCCACGCTTCATAACCAGTTTCCTTCAACAATAATTGAAAAAGTCTCCTGTCCATTTTTCTTTTGTTGTTGGGTCAGTACTTCAGTTCCCCTTTATCAGGTCATTCTTGGGAAGTGAAAGACAGCTGGTCAGCCAATTCCCTGGGACCTTCAGCTTGGAAACCTGCAGGGGAGTAGCTGGCCTTTTGAGCCATCTGAATAACTATCAAAACTGGACTCCTGAGCCCTGTACTGGGCACAGGCATTTTTCTTGATGTTTCTCTCTCTCTCCTCACTAAAGTGAAGTTTATGCCAACACAGAGGGAAAAGATTTCAGACGAAAAGGCATCAGAGAGGAACATTTGTGTCTCCTGTTAAGGTTTCTGCATGGAGAACAGGTATCCAAGATTTAGCTTTCATTAAAGACCTGAAAGAGAAATCCAAACCATGGAAGTCCGGAAAACGTTTTGCTCAAAACTCCTCACTTGCAACCTGTGGGCTGGAGGATGTGGTTCAGGTAAGGCTGTTGATAGATAGAAAGGGATGGTAGTTTCTTATTTCAGTTTGAACCATCCTTAGGTACTGTCTCCCTGCCTTGAAGTGTTTATTTTGTCACCACGTGCCTTTTATTCTGCATAGGGGGATGTTGAGTGGCAAGACACGGTGTAATCCACCTGCCAGTCTGTGCATCCTCGTAGTCACTGTATCTAAAGCCCTCCAAGTCTCAGATTAGACACATTTCAGGGCTGGTAGGATTGCAGTGCTACAAGAGAAGTACCGGTGCTGTGCACAGGACCCCTGGAAAGGAGCAGAGCACCAACTGCACAGGTCCCTGCTGGCACCAGGCTCTTTGCAGTGGCTGAAGGTGGCAATGGGTACTGGAAGCTTCTGCCTCCAAAGGCTGATTGCCAGCACTTCAGCCAAAATTGTTCTCCCCACTGCCATCCTTTGTCTCCACGTGAAACAAGCAGAAATCCATCCCTGCTGCTTGAAGGTGACTGGAGGCTACACTGAGGGGATGAAGTAAAAGAACATGGGAATATAGTAGCAGACAGCTGCTAGGCTGCCATGCTCCAGATTGCTGTTTGGGAGCGTTGGAGTGAATGCAGAGCATACTAGCAGCCATACAAGCCCCACTGAATTATCTAAATAGAAAAAGCCTCGGATTGGCACTTGGTTAAGCAGCACTTTCGTTTCTCTGTGTTTCAGCTCATTGCCTGGAAATCCTGCCTAGAAAAGCTTGTGGATTTC